GGCAGGGAGGTTCAGTAATTGAGAGTTATACAATATTAACCTCCCGCCGACTAGAGAATTTGGCTAAACCAATGTCATCCTTTCAAACTATTTCCCCAGGCATTTAGAAATTGTTAAAGAGCAAACATCCAGCTTGTGTATTGGCAGCTGCTTTACAGATTCATATGTAATTAGATTTCCTATATAGTCGCTATTGTGCTCCTGGAAAAACGTAGGCCACTAGGTTTACTAAGGTAAACGCAGCAATTGCTTTGTTATCAAAATTGACAAAAAGTATTGTTTTAAACGTATATGAATTTCCAATGCTGCACAAAATGTTGTGCTATTGGGAAGCAGGCGAATAAAAAAAGAGTATTTCAACAGCGAGGAAATTTAAAATTCTAACGAATGAGGAGCAGTTTATTCAAAACAATAAATATACCATACATTGTGGGGGGGAATCCCTAGAGCACAGCCTTTCAACCCTTCTCGCCAAGGAACTGTTCTCTATATTGTTAGAGTATGTTAGTTCTGTATGTTATCTACTGTATATCAAGCCTGTTCTCCATATTGTTTTAAATTGCAAATGATTTCAAGCTGTGGTATTGTGCAACAGCTGGTCCAATTTAACTTTAATTGTAGGAGTTTGACACCTCATCTGGGTACAAAATGGTATTAACTTGGAGATGTAGGAAACCCATTGGGCCTGAGGACAGAAATTGTGAATGTCTGCCTTACCTTTAAAGGTTCTTTTAAAGGTCTATATCCATGTTATTTCGATGCCTCCTATTGGCACTAGCTTTTTTCTGGCTGTTTATTTCCTTACACTGCACTAATTAACGCACTCAGTCTGTCATTTCAATTTAACACACCTGCCTGAAATGTTTGGAGGCAATTGACTCCACCCTCCTGCAGCCAGGTCCTGCTATCAAACAGGGATTCCCTCCACCCTTCTAATTAGAGGACACCCCGGGGTTAAGACACAAACAAAACAGGCAGCACCCTGCATCAGGAATGGCTGAACAAAAAGTCAAGCAAGGTCTACAGTACTAAAAGCTTACGAGCTTCACACGTTGTCCGTTAAATCTTTGCACCTTCTAAACTGTTCTCTTAGTTTTGTTGTTTTTAAAACTTTCCTTTTTAAATAGTTCTTGTAAACTCATACAACAAAGCCTCATACACAATCCTGAGATGTGTTACAAGACTAGGTTTAAGTGATAGCATCAGGATTCTCCAGGAAAGTAATAAAACATGACCTAGTTAACAGGATAGAAAATGTCAGATCTTTTATTACTGCTTGCCTATTTAACACTTATGCTCTATGTGGAGCTTGGGCTATACTCTGCAGTCTTTTCCGTTGGTTCAGTCCACACTCTGAGAAGCGAGCTGCCATTCTTGGCTGGCTGTTGCAGATTCTGCTTTGCCTCCATGTCCCAATATTAAAATGATGAATAAGGTAGACAGATGGCACCCTAGCCTGTTACACCTTTTTTTTTTTCCATCATGAAGGCAAGTTGTCTAAGGTCTTGTGCCAACAGAAAAAAAAGTGGTTTTGAAATTCTACCCACTGGGGGATTAGAAAAGTTGTTTTCATGACACCTTGTGGACCAAGGTTCTTGAGAAGATCATTCCACGGATATCTAGAGGAGCTGAACTTCGCGGTTTCTACAGCTGCACAAATGTATCGGCATTAACAGTCAGCTGTCAAAGCCTGGTCGCACCTTCTTGGCCCTCCATTTGGTTGCTATACTACAGCATGAGAGGACATGAGGATCCTCTGAGATGTCAAAAGTCTAGTAAATGTCTGCAATACTAAACCTGACATGTTACTTGGATAAGGAATCTGCATTATCTTAGAATGCAATTACTTTGTGCATCTTTATATGCTATATATTTCAAAACAATCAAATACTATAGCACAAGTTTATAAAACCATCTTTCAGATAGAGGTTTGTAAAACAGCTGTTATGTACAATTTAGGGCCAACATTTTTAGGATAGTTTTATACAGAGCAGTTACATTGTGAATAAACCAAACAGGTTTAATATGAAAATTCACTTCTACTTTATGTGCGAAAAAAATTAGATTAAACAAAACTCACTAAGCAAAGCTATTCTGCTATCAATGCTAGTGCCAACAATTAAGGAGACCTTCAACCAAACAATCAGTCAATAACTAACAAGTTCAGAAAACAGGGTCCTGTTCTTTGGAGTGCTAGTCATTGCCCAAGACTAATGAATTTCTCCTCATGCCAACTTTGCCTGAGTAAAATCTTTGAGAGATCTTTATTCATGTGACCTGCCTGAAAAAAAAAGCTACTCTGCCATCATTAACTCCTTTTGCCTGCTCCCATCTAATCAAGATTGAATCAAAGCTCCGCCTTTGTTCTTGCAACAAAAAATAGAGTGGAGTACTTAACTGTAATGGCCAATAATGACAGTACTCAGGTAGTAGCTATTAGCAGCTGTGTTCTAATCAAAGACTACACTGTTGGCACTAGATTGACATACATCAGTAGTGCTCAATGTAATGTGGTACTGTAAATCTAACTGAACAACACTTTGAAGTCAAACATTTTCAGGAAAAATCTATAACGACACTTAGAGCCCCAGTAAATCAAAACTTTAACCCTCATGCCAATCGCAGATTACAAACTCAGACCTTGACTGCGGGTTCCCATTCTGTTACAGGCATGAAGCCTCTGGCACACAAAAAGCCACCATCAATTACACATCAAATTACAAACTTGGAATTCTGTGGCAGGTGGGTCAGAGCATTGATTTAATCTTTTCTTAAGCATAGAGGATTATTTGATGCTATTATTTATACCGTATTTCTGTCTGGGTGGGTGGCGGTTACAGTCTATATATACAGTGGGACATATACAACACAGAAAGAAAATCATGTTCATTCACAATTTTCTAGAAACCCATTAAATCATAATTAGCACAATGTCCATTAAAACATCCATCGAGAGGTGCCTCTATGCCAGCTGTGATCTAAACATCGTTAAGCACCTACAGTATGTACAGACTTAAGTGATACTGGTTCAGATCGCCTGTGTGTCTGAGGAAGTTGAAAGACCAGTAATTTCCTTTTTCACTTTGTTCATGTTTTTTATGCTATCTGGGGTTTGTTTCTGTGGAATGAACATCTTCCTGTGGGAGTGCAATCTATTCTGAAGGAAGTTACATGATTTTGTGGATATGCTGCTGCTGTCTTTGGGCTTCTATAAACTGACTAGCAGTCATTCTCTACTGTTTGATTTGTCAATCCCCAAAGCAAGCACCTGACTCACTGACATGCTTCATAAGACTTTTGAAGCCACTCATTTAACTATTAGACATTCAGGCTTCTGTAGTTATTGGTTAAAGCCAACCAACCTTTAATGCTTCTGTTTAACTTATTTGACAAAGATTTTTAATATATAACTTATTTCACAGAGAGACTACTGGGGTTCATTATTCTAAAGAATCTAGCCAAATTATATCAAATAAAATGAAACAAACACCTTACCATCTAATTTCACGCATCCAATCCCTTTTATGTGGAAAATATCAGCTACATTAGCATCATCTTTGACTATCTGCACTAAAATTGCAGGTACATGCTGTGTCCCTTAATCAGCTTTCTACAATGACTTCTTAATTGGTGGAGAAATAGGAATCAATGGTGAGAATTGAAAAATAAAGAAACAAGAGCTTCCTATAAGTTTTATATGCTATTTTAGCCATACCATACTGAATTGAGAAAAAGCAGCAATGTTCATGGTATGTCCCCAAGTTTAAATGAACTCTGAACTTGTAAAATCAATTATGTATCCTCCCTATGATCATAAATTAACCACAGATTTACTTTGTTGTAGTTTAGCCAAATTAACAAACTAAAAGATATGAACATAGAGATCTTGAAAATATATAAAGAGGTCTTCAATCAGAAATAACACTGACACTTATAAGGCCTCACCACCATAATGCTAATTAAACATTATACAGAAAAGCTCCTGAAAGAAAGTCACTAAATCCAAAACATTTTCTTCTAAAGCTTATATTCCACAAATTATGGAATTCATACAAAATTCTAAATGTTTTGGAAGATTGACTTTGCTGAATTTTAGGAAACTTTAAGGGGTCACTGGCCCATCACAGAACTTCAGGAATGGCTTACCAAAAGACCATTATCACAGAGAAACATATCAGTGTTGGAAACTAATAAACTTATTTGTTCTCTTATTAAAAAGAGATGCTCTAAGGATGCTCTGTGTTCATGTAATACTAACAAGGTTCAGCCAGAGACAGAATGACTTGAGATATTAACTTAGACCCGTTTTCTGAACTATTATTTAGTCTCATTATCAAAATAGGGTCACGTAGAGTATCAGTGCCACTACAGTCAGATAATATCAGGACTATAAGGGGAGTTGGAAGAGTAGACAGAGGGGAGGGAAGGGATTTAAGGATCACTATAATCCTCAGGAAACCACATCATCCATTACTCTTTATCTTGGTTTTACTAATATTGCTGTGTCATTTACCGATACAGACTGATACCAGTCAGATTATAAATAAAGGAGGCTGGAGCACATTAGCTGGGGAAGTAAGTGATCACTTCAGATATATACAGCAAGCTATCAAATACTGACATTGCATTGGCCTTTCCATTTTAAAAGAAAGATATGGCAAGCAGCTCTAATACTGATCACATGTTTCTCCAACAATTTGATATGTTTGTTTTTCCTAATTCTATTTTTTATGCAGTCGGTCCTTTTGAGCTGAAAAAGACACTCGAGGGCGTCTAATGCTTCATGATTCAGGGATGTTTTTTTGTGTACTTGACGATAATGCCAACAAAGCATGTTACTGTATATGAAAGCGCCGTTAAAAGTCATTTTTAAATAACAGTCTTGGAGCTGCGGTCTTTCATCCTGTGGTGTGAGCAAGGCTTCTGTCCACATACTGTAGGACTGCTTGAGGGCTCACTTTCTGGGAAAAAGCTACAGTACATGTGAGACTTAAACTCACCCTAGCTCCTCGCTTTCCAGGCAGTCCTGGTTTTCCCGGAGGTCCTGGAGGTCCCTAAAGGAAACAAAAAGCCATTAGCAAGCATAACACCTAATGTGTACCAGCTTTACAGCATGACATTCACACCTAACCCTGCAGAGAACCAGTTCAGCAGTGAGAGGGTAAAGAAAGCAAAGACCCCACTAGCACAATCACAAGACAACAATATTTCAACCTTATGCTTACTCATCTTGGTAGAGGCCTTGACTGCACCATGGACAAAATGCCCTTTTTTTTAGGTTCTAGATATTTAGATTTCCTTTCCTATCAATTTTTTCCTGCCTCAGACAGCAACCACAAAAACTGTATTCCCCATACTGTACTATATGTTGCAACCCATTTGATAATGATGCCTCATGTTTTAAAATGCATCATAAATCATACTTTTCCAAAGTAGCAGAGAAAGACTTAGTTGGTGTATTCCAAAACAGATGGAGAGTGAAGACCTGTAGCAAACGCATACGTTCAAAATGACATGCCTGTTCTGACTTCATACACGTGACTCACCATTCCTCTGTCACGTACTGTACCAGTTTATCAAGTAAACCAGGTATGATGCATATCTTAAGGGACCATGAATGATTTTCAGATTATTTTGCATTTACATCAAATTAAGTTCAACTGAATTTGGAAATGTCGTAATGAAATGGAAACATAAAAAAAGAGAAAAAAGTTGAACAAAGCAATTATAAAGCCACTTTGCAATTGTATTAGTAGTGATAAATACATTTGTATTTTCAAATATTCTTTAATATTAAAAATGTTTTTGATTTTTTTTTACCACCAGGAGGCACAATGTTCCACACCAAGGGTATCCATTATACTGTGTGTGGCCATTTGTTCTCTCTCTCTGCAACATGCCCAGAGTATTTAGATTAAAATTAGATATGGTCTTTAATAATGACCAGTTCTATCAAATGATTTTAATTATTTTACATTCATTTCTTTACAGCTCCTTTCACAGATATTTAACTTAATGCCTAGACATTAAAATCATGTACTGTATAAAAGTCAATTAGACGAATGCTCTCAGGTCCATGCACAATTATTATTTTTTTTTACTATCTGCAACTTGACCAGACATCAACAAGAGTAGATTCTTTTAGACAAACAAAAAAAAGGAATTTAGTGCACATTGCAAAAAAAAATCCATGTGAAATACCCCAAACGTAATCAAATGTATAAGTCTACTCTCCAAATTCAGAGAATCAATTTAGTCATACAGAATCTACAAAAAGAGGATTACATTTTGGAAACTAGACACTCGCAAATTTCCAAAACAATGTGTTAACAAAGTTGTTCTTTAACCTGCATGAAAAAAATGGAAGCACTCTGCCAAACCATCTCAAAACCTTTCATCCTAGATCCTTTTAAATGCAATTCCCTTCAAGAATTAAATGGATAGCCCAGATCAACTGAGGCACCTTTTTTTCACTAGGATAACCAAGTTTCCACCTTCTTTGCCTTTAAACTGACACATACAAGAGCAAAACCAACAGCTGTGTTTTCACAGCACAGTACTCTTGTGGAAATGGAGTAGTTGAAATACATTTGGTCTACAAGAGAAACTAGAGGCACTCTCTATTCAATATATTGGAATATTCCAGAATGTACTCTACTGAGACTGTAAAACAAGAAGCTTAAATCTTAAAACTTGCACGTAGCAATTTTGTTGTTCCAATTATGAAAACAAGCACATTAAACGACTTTAAAAGGACCAAGAAACTTATTTTGAAAAGTCATTTCCCAAACGACTTTGCAATCTTAATTAATAAAAATTATAAAGTGATCAAAGTAATAGAATACTTCGAATGTTGCCAATGTGGAGATGGGGCGATTTGACTTTAATACTGAAAATCCAAAAAACCTTTGATTAAATATGAACAGAGCTACTGTAGGATGCTGTCAAAAACATTTTCAAAACACATTTTTGCTAAATGTCCCTTAAACAAATCTGAGTTCGTCCAGTTCAACTAGCTACTGTAAGTGGCATGGGGAGTGCTTTGTGCTGGTACAGTTACATGTCTTTTGTACAGATTCTTATCCCTGGTTTGTATTACAACTCCCAGATCTCCTATTGAGTTCATGGTGTCTCAAGAACACATGGGTTTGCAAGAGCTCTCAAGTCTTGTTTCAGCAATAAGAAACTGCCTGACTGAGTCAAGGTGTGATTAGTGTTGATCCCAGTGAAGTCCTCAGTGCCTTTAATGTCTAAGCAATTCAAGCTTTATGTGTTGCTCTGTGGTAACATCTCATTTTGAACCAATTACACCGATGGGCTGGTGGAAACTCAGACAGGTCAACTGAGTGCGCCGAGGTCAAATTGAACAAGTGTCCTACTTCTGAAACACCCTCGGTAATTTCCAGCTCTTAAGCCAATGTTTATTTAACGACCATTCTTGGGCATTTATTTTGAAATCCCCGTGATTTACCTAAAACCAATGAAAAAACAAAAGCAACAAAAACGCAATCCTAAGGATAACGTAAGGCCACTTATGCCAAGCAGGCTGTTTTCTATAAAATGGATTAAACCATTTAAAGCTACCATACAGAAGCTGTGAAAGGATTTAATACAGCTGAACAAAAGCTTTTCCTTAGCTGTAGAAAGAAAAACATACATCATTCACATTGTAATTTTAAGGTAAATCTGTATATTGCTTACTGTACAAAAATGAAATTATTCCGCTGTTATTATATACCAGTTTAAACACTTGGTACTGTTAAATGTACAGTACATATCAGCAGTAATAAGACTTATGCTTGACTGTGTGTTCATTTGCTGTCCCCTGTCTTTTGGTACTGTATTTATAACATAGCCATGTGTCTTTCAAAACAAGAACTAGAAACAGTCCTCTCAACACCTGGAGTGCCAGCAAAGCCCTAAACCAAAATAGGCCTTTTACACTAAAGAGAGAACCATTTGTCTAAAAGAAGTGACTTAAAAAATAGATTTTATTTTCTTTATTTACTTTGGAGATATTTCAAATTTACAATACTAGCATATACAGATTAAAGACTGGAGCCAACAATATACTGTAGATTACCCTTTTACCTACAGGACAAGAATCCATGCTGCACTAAGTTGGATTAGTTACTGTACTCTGAGGCACTGCCTGCCAAAATAGTGTTGTGAGCTGCATAAGTCAGCTACAAAATCCCCTTCTCCACTCAACTTTTAGTGGTCTTTAACCCATTAGCAATGAAGGGAAAATGCTAGGCAGTGGAAAATCTGGCAAGGCCTTTGTTAATGAGGCACTTCTAATGCTGCACCTGGCTTTTGAGCTAGACTCCAGACCACAGTGTATATTAGGTAATTTTGTCCATGCTGTGACAACTAGGACTTTCCCTGTTTCAGAACGCAGGACACACTCCAAGTCTACAGGCTGCCAAATGTGTGACTCTTACCTAAATTTAGACCCTATCTGAACTGAGCAGAAAAGAAAGAGGACAAAGTCAAAACTCAAAACGGTCTTTTTTTCTTTTAAAAACAGTCATTATGTTTTTATACGCCATTCCCTCAAGTCGAAGTGACTAGAAATCCCATTGATCTTAAGTAGTGAAACTAGTTAAACTAGTGAACAACCTGTAGCACCAAAGTCGGCTTACTTGAAGAGTTTCGAACAATAGACCATTATAACAACTGACACCCATGAGCCCATCAGACCCCATTAACAGAATTTTATTAGGACACTAAAAAAGATAATTTACTGCTCTTCTTTTGGAGAGAGAAAACAGCAATGTTTATTGACTCTTTTGTGTGATTCCAATTAAATGAATGTAACTGGCTTTTAAAGTGGGTGTGATGTTATTGAAAGGGAGGTGAAAAGTCTATGTGCTTTGTCATGCACGTTCAGATCAAGCTCAGCTGATAATCCTCCACAGCAATGGAAGAACAGAGGAGAACATGCAGCTTCTCAAACTATCCCTCCACTAGGCGACAGCACGTTTCAGAAGTATGGCATCAATTCAGGATCACGCGGATAACCTCTACAGGAAGTCAGGCCTTGCTTGTTTTGTTGTGGGATATCGGCTTTGTGCTTATTTTTTTAAATATTTATCCAAGGCATCCAACTGAAAGGCATCTGTTTGTTTTCTGGTGTCGACCCCAGTTGTGAAGGCAGGAAGCAGTGACAAAACACAAAAAAGTCCATTCCCAATTGATCCCATTGCTAACTTAAAACTAAAAACACTACAACACAGATTGTACAGCTAGTCTTGATAAACCTTTAAGATCCTCCTTCACTGGCCTTGATCTGAAAATTGGACAAAAAGCCCTTCATACTTATGTGAAAATATCTGTCCTGCCATTACTTCTACTGTAGGTCTCAGTCAATCAATGGGTATTTACATTTAGGTTGAAAACCAGGCTTGAGTCGACTTAAAGGCAAATCACATTGGCAAATGACTATAGGTATGATTCAAAATCATATCTCCTACAGGCATTTTCATTTCCAAAATACTTATTTCTGTACAAAATGGTTTAGATGCTGATACTCCTGGTTTCCTCAACAACATTACCTAATACTGCCCAATGTTTTCGGGAAAATCATACATTTGCTTGACTGTTACCTTAAACTGAAATCGGCTGTATAGCAAGTACCTGGAGTTCAATACTAATGTACAAAAAAGCTTGAACTTCAAAGTGCAATGCATCACTTAATTCTTCTTGACTACTGTATTTGCTTGGTACAGAATGTACAGTACAATGTAAAGGGAACATTCAGAGAGCTCAGCTGAAGAGTTTTACCTAAAATATTGTTATTCATTTTTAACCAAAGGCTAATATATGCAAGGAGGTTGATTTAAGTAATGATTATGTAATGCCCATAAGGACTTGTAATCCTTTTTTATATCCAAAGTACACAGCTCCTGTTTTACATTTCCTTGCCCTTTCTGTCCCTGTAATTCACCTTGTACCAATTACCTTATCCTTCCATGAGCTACTGTACACAGATACTGGACACATGAATCAAATACCCTTCAAAGATGGGAGTTCGATACTTCACAACATTTCCTCAGCAGAGTTCAAAATCAGTTCAAGCTATAATCAAGTGTAGGACATACAGTAACAGAATTGCATAATATTTGGACAGCACCGATATTCCAAAGTAATCAATAAAGCTTTCAGTATTAACTTCAGTCATTTTACTGAATTACTTTTGAAAATTAGTGCACAATTTCTAAAATACACATTTACAATGTATTATATCTTTAAAGAAAATGTCAAAATGCTGCAATTAAGTACAGTTGTAACCCATTTTAACTTCAAGTTTTTGAATACATACTGTAAACTGGGATTTGAAAAATATTTTCAGTATTAATAGAGACAATACCAACTATCAACACCCATGACGCATCTAGTGTACTGAGTGCACAAATGTTCAACCTCAAACACACAGCATTGGTAGTTTATTCTACTGCAGCTACAGAGAAGTCATGGTTTTCCTTTTACATACAGTTCAAACCACAATCTGGGTTTTTCATTACAAAGAAAATAAGTCCCAGACAGTCCAGTTCCACGATTAGGACAGGTAACATCCCATTATCATATCTGATGCATGTTGTTCTATCTGTAAGCCTTTCAGAAGGATGATGTAAGCCAAGGTTGCCTGTTCTTGAGAATTTGTTTGTATAAACTATTTCTGTTAACATGAGGATGCATGATGCACAAGGCAGGACAATGGATATATGTTGTCAGGCTCCAATCATCCAGTGTCGCAGTCCTTATCATTTCATCTACATCTGGCTTACCAATTATGTGTTTGTATCAGGAGAAAACTTTATTCGGGAATCGGCGGAATGGTGGCTCTGTGGCTAAGGATCTGCGCCTGTGGCTGGAAGGTTGCCGGTTCAAATCCCGCAGCCAGCAGAGGAATCCTACTCCGTTGGGCTCCTGAGCAAGGCCCTTCACCCCAGCTGCTCAAGGGGTGCCATACAATGGCAGACCCTGTGCTCTGACCCTGGGCTCTCTCCTTGTCTGTGTGTCTCATGGAGAGCATGTTGGGGTATGCGAAAAGACAATTCCTAATGCAAGAAATTGTAAAGGGTTAATAAAGTAATGTTATTATTATTAAACTGCCTTACCATTTTTATACCAATGAATTCCTTTCTGTATAGCGTGTACACTCTTAAGCCAATCTCTTATATGCACTATTTCAATGGCATTCAAAGGTTTATTTTAAAATGGGAAACTGTACTGTAGGTACTGTATGCAGAGGAAAGGTTTTAGCCGGTTTCAGCAGGGGTAGGTTAAATGGTTAAATGTTTACGCCTCCTTTATTCATCTTGATCTTTAACCTTGCTTTGAAAGCACCCCATTATTCTGCGGGCTCGCACACTCTCAAAGAAAAATTTGACGCTCAGGCGTCAAGCACTCACAAGAGGAGTGCAAGAGCTTACAAAGTTAAGGCATGCGCTGGAGTATTTCAGACAGTCATGTTAAAAGGAAATTTCACATTAGCAAGGATTTCTCTGTGCAGCCAGTAATTTGAAGCTGAATCTTAGTGTGCCTTAAATTTTGTGTGGCAGCTGCAGTATCAAAAGCCTTTAATGAGGTCATGCAGGTCATTCAGTTTTGTTCAGTGGTCATAATTCAAGAGAAAATGGGCACAGAAGTAGCCTACCTGCACAAAATGATGGCCTTTAATCTTACCAAACTTTCAAGTTGTAAGTGAAGCTTTCAAACTTTGCATGTTAAAATGCTGCCATAGTTTATACACCTTTAAAAAAATCCTGTTGGTTTGCTCTAGTATACTAATCATAGGCTCACTCCATAGAAATCTGTAGCACTTTCAAATGACTGAGTTTGTTTTCCACTAAAAAACACAAAAGAACAAGCCAGTCCAAAAATCCAGTTAAAGTTTAGGTGGAAATCTAAAATACCAACACAGGAACTACTAAATTCCAAGAGGTGATGGCTGAGATCCCTTAATTTCCACCCAATTCACTGTAAAGATGGTCTGTAGCAGAAGAATTAACACATGTGTTCCAATGTAAATGCTAACAATTTGGCTTCTGTAAAACAGATGAGATTCTGAAGTGTTGCCTGCCTTCAAGTTAACTTAACCACCCCAACAAACTTTCAATAAAAAGACAAAATTGTCCATAGAAACAAATGATCACATTTAAACTTTATGACATATAATATTTAAAACATTAACTAGTATTCTACCACTTCCTTGCAAAAGCAAAGAATAATCAATAAGTAAACACCAGGGTCCTTTGTTTACAAACAGGGACAGTTTCCTGTGTCCAGTCTTTCCCTGCTGATCTTGAGGAGTCACCACTGCACTAGCAGCCCCTCCTCCAGCAGACCACACAGTCAGGAAGCTCTGCTGCAGAGGGGAGTCTTTATATTTCAGACTTTGATAGAACAGACTTCCCACTGTTTCCTAAGGCCCTCTGCGATGAGAATCCATAGATTCTCAACGCAGGGGAGGAGTTTAACCTACTGAGGACTAAAAGGAAAACAAAAGTACCCTAAAGGCTTTCACATGTGAAACAGGGGCCAATAAATTTTTGCCGATCTCCACGTGATGAAGTTTAAGATGCACATCTTGGTGCACACAGGAGCCTGTCCACACTCATTTCTTAATTGTCTTTTGGATACTTCTCTAAAGCTTTTAATTGGAAGGCCTGCTCTGTCAGCAGCATGGATCTATATTCCCTAGATCTTTAACCCTGTGTTGACACAAATGTCCTCTATGGATATAATGCTGCTTTATTGTTTATGGTTTATATCGTCTAAAGCAATTTCATGACGTTTCCTAATAGAATACTATTAAGCTGGCACAATAGAATACAATCACGTAAAGAGGAAAAAGGTGAAATCTGGGGTATTTTGCTGAAATGGCGAAAGAAAGAGTTCTGAAGACACAGCACTTATTGTATCGAGCTCTGGCGATCACATTTCTGGCATCTAATGGAATATATAATGAATACACGGTTCCAACTGTAAAGCAATGCAATTTATGGACTTCAGCTCACCGGTAACCCTGGTTCCCCCTTTAATCCTGGTGGCCCAACCAGGAGAGAGAAGGGAGTTGGATCCAAGTCAAAGGTTTGAAAGCCGTCGGTGGCAGCGGGAGTGATGGGCACGAAAGGAGTGGGTTTGACGGAGTGAGGAGCTGCTCCTTTAGGCTCAGGTGTCTTTCTGGACGGAGACTGCTGCTCCTTCTTTGAAAGGACCCCCGTAGCAGGCTTCGCTGTGCTTGGCTTCGTGGCGGTGGGGCTGTGGAGTTCCAGTTTCTTTTTCACTGGCTTGGAAGTGGTGGTGGCTGCCAACCCACCCGTTTTCGATTTCTTTTTGGCGTCCTGTCCCGCGGTGGTCTTTCTGGGGTTAGTCTGCCCACTCCGGGCACTGGGCTTAGGAGGTTTATTGGTAGCCATCTTGGATAAAGCTCCGCTGGTCCTGAGAGGCATAGTGACGGTTTGGGTCCTTGCCTGTTGTAGTCCGAGCCTGGTGGTAAAGGGTGGGGCAGTGCCTTGCAAAAGTGTGGAAACAGTGGCCGCATGGGGAGTGACAACAACCCCCTGCAGGGAGGTGGAATTCAGCGTTGTTAACCTACTGCTTTGGACTACATACTTAACACTGGTCCCAGAACCACCTAAAGGAAGAGCCATGTTTAAACCCCTTTTGGTTATCTCAGTCAATGAGAGCGGGGTTTTGGGAGTAACAGTAATATTTGGATCTCTGGGTAACAGAGGAATTAGAGGAGGGAGGTTTGGCCGGTAGGTGTCAGCTTGCCTGCACTGTCTTTTAATGTACTTACAATAATTATGAGCTGCCTTGGCAGAAGGATAAATATCAAACTGACAAATGGCGCCTTCAAACTGAACTGAATTTTGGTTCATTTTGCCTAAGAGGAAAGACCCCTCGGGATCTAGAGTCTCTTCTTTTTTAAAATGCAAATCTGCATGTACACGTTGCTTCCCACAAGAAGTATATAAAGTGACCTTTTGGCCTCTGATGTCAATGGCCAGGTTGTGCCACTGGCCATCGTGAACATCATAATCAAAATATACAGATTTCTTATGCCCTACATATACTATAATCTTACCAGGTATAAACTGCACCCCCAGCTGCAGTTTCTTCTTCTTAGACTTAACAGTAAATAAAAAAGCATTATTAACGCGATGGGAGCAGAGGCTCAGTATCAAAGCAAAGTTCGTGCCAAAAGTGGCTGGAATGACTGTGCTAAGTGGCGCCTCGATCCGTGCCCGCTGGGTGAAAATGACGCCCGATTTGAAAGGTATGAACCCCTGAGGAACGGGACGGGATGCCGGAGAAGGTGACTGCGACTTCTTTCCCGTAAGGCCCAGCCTTTGGAGAATGTCCACATCTACACAACAACAACACAAAAAAGAAGAAAGAGAATTTAGAAAACAACTCCCCAAAAAACTCCCCCCCCCCATCACACGAGCTCTCCCCAGCAAGACATTTAGAAAGGAACTTTTGTATCTGATTTAGCTCTTAATACAGCAGGTGATGATACTGTAGGTCTTCCTTGTTCTGTTTGTGTTTCTTCTGCTCAAATCTGCCATCGCTGTTCTTCAGATGAATTTCCAGGTGACATCAATGAAAATTAAAATGAAATAAAAGATGAGCACAACATTTCTTGCTCAAGAGTAAGCTGCCAGGTCACCTGTTTCTATCCACATGGAGGTAGGTACAGTATCTTAGCAAAGCTGACAGCCCAGAGGCAACTGGCCAGACAGGACTCAGTTTTGCACAGGAAGATGATGGATTCCTTGCTCTCTCAAATCCCAGGTCTGGACCTGGGATGTCATGCTAACAACATTTGAAACATGCTCAATGAGAAATTTTATAGGCAATGCCCTGCAAGATATAGGCAGAACATCTGTAACATGAAGCCTAAAAGACTTCCAACAAGCAGTATATACCAAAATGGCCCTTATTTATGCCCTTGCATTCAAATGACTTCAAACAAGACAAACCTGCAGCAGGAAGCAATCTGAAATTCAAAAGTCTTAGCTAAATGGTGTTCAATTTAATGTGTTCACTCCAGGGCTCAATTCCAGACAAAGGCTCTGGTATCTTAATAATCAGCTTTCAAGGAAAGTTGTATTATTCAGCCGTGTTGGAAACATTATCAAAACGTACAGTAGCAAACGGCCTCACTTACATCAAAGGAGAAAGTCTGTAAATGGGTTGTGTCACTGACCTGCTCTATTTTAAATTGAGAGTGGTCTCTAGAAATAAAAAGGGGCTCAAATACCAGTCTGGCATATAGTTCTTTTAGAAGAATTAACAAGATTGTTTTAACTAAAAAAATCACATGCTTATTGTACATATATTTTTAAAAATTATCTGGAGGTCTAGGAGGTAAGAAAAATGTAATATAGTTACATCTATAAAACACATATCAACATCTACTTTATATATACGTACACACACACACACCTGACAAATACATACCATATGAATTTTAGTAATGTATTCAAATACCATTTCACATTATGGAAACATAATAAATTATAACATTATTTCATTCCCCACAAATGCTTTATCTTATAGAAAGTCATGGCAAGTGTACCAGATTAGAGACACCAATTAACATAACCTGCATGTTTTTGCAAACGGGGGGAAAGTAAAAATGATCATTAGTTTCTTTTTCTTTACGACACTGGAAATTAATCCTAATGGACATAGGAAATGTAAAACGAAGAAAGCTCCATTTCTACATTCTTGTTATTAGGCTGTATTATATTAAGAGTTTCAAGATGCACTATGGTAAAACTCACGCCAGCCTTGTGAAGGGATTCCTACAAGCACACACTGTGTAAACTCCATCCACCCTATAGATGGTGCAAGATGGGACTACAACCCTGGAAAAGATGCCAGTCCATCACAGACTGGGGGACACACAGCGACCATTTAAAGACACCAGTCAAGCTAATCAACATCAAGGTGGGAGGAAACTGGATCTCCTAGCAAAATGAAATGCAAAAGCAGGGGATTACATGCAAATTCCACTTGAAAGGTGGAAAGATCACTTTATTGGCCATATACAATTTCTTGTATTAGGAATTTGTCTTTTCTCATACCCCAACTTGCTCTCCATGAGACACACAGACAGGGAGAGAAGCTTGGGGTCAGAGCGCAGGGCCAGCCATTTATACTGCACCCCTGGAGCAGCTGGGGTTAAAGGCCTTGATTAGGAGCCCAACGGAGTAGGATTCCACTGCCGGTCGTGGGATTCGAACCGGCAACCTTCCAGCCACAGGCGTAGATCCTTTGCCATAGAGCCAACGCACCACCCCAGCCAAGGATATAAGAAGTATCAGTTCGTCATATGTACAAGTGAAATTAAACATGCACATTCCTGTGTCTGACTATATTAATTAACTGCATGGACTGTTGTAGCAGTCTTCATTTTTAAACACACTATTACGTGTCTGAAGGCATGTCGCAGAAGAAATGGGGTCTATGCACTTGAGGCTCGTTACGGTCATACACGACATCTTGTAGAAAACCATGTACAAGATCAAGATTAAAGCCTAAATTGGGGCTTCACGCACAGTTTTGTGCATGCAAGGTACAGTAAGTCCCTTATCTAAACTGAAGGATCTTGAATCAAGTTTGGCCTGCTGAATTCCATCCAGCTAGCTGTAAGTTGTATTGATTACAGTACTTTTATAGACTTTATTTCCCTGCCTGGCTTCTACTAAGTGCTTCCAGAGAGCACAAGCATTCAGATTAATCCATCTAGAACTGAACAGAGTGGGCAGCCTTTAGTTTGGAAGAATGTGTGGAATATATGCTTATAAATGACTGGAGAGCTGGTTTCCGCAGGACAAACAGTAGCAAAGCACAGCCTCCAACTAGAGGGATTTCAAATCAGATTCTTTTCACAACAAGATATTAATGTCATACAAACTTCTCTTGAAATTTTATCTTGTGCCATCGAAATTGATTTATCTTTCCCCAGCTCATTTCAATTTTCAGCCCCACTTAGTGTGAAATGACCTCAAAAGATCTCCACCTAGGGAACCTCTATAATATGGTTTGCAATGGAATGATGGTAGCGATCCAAACTGATTTGCATAGCATCCTACAAGAGATGTTATTACTGGATGAGGCTATTCCTTATTTTTGAATGGAAAGTTTTTTTTAATGTTCAGGGCACACATCGTTAAAAGCTAACTGGAAGACTTGGGAAAAGAGCTTACTACTTTTAGGAGTAAGGGAAAATTTGTCGACATTTTCCCTTGGGTAAAATATCATGCCACACTGCTCTTGTAACAAACGAGCAAAGCTCTTTACGAGTACCACTATAGCCAATAGGCTCGCAAAAGGGTTCATACCAAATCACAGCCAATATAATTAAAACCTCAATTTCACTGAAAAACAACCTCCTCACTTACACTGTTTATTGAAACAAGAACCATAACCAGGGGATTCAATTATGCTCCCCAATGAATAATTTAATCCATCAGGTTCAAAATAGCTCAGACCTCACTGTTCTAATGTTCAAAATGGTAACCACGGCTCTGGATTTGAACAGGATTTAACAAAAAGCATGTGGAAAAATGTTGCCTTCAATGAGGCAAAGGTTTCCACTGGGTTGCTAATGTGCATCGATGTCCAATGTCACCCCCTCCCTCCCTCCCCCAGATAATAGCACTGGGCTGATATCACAGCTCCTACGAATACTAAAAGCTGTCATCAGTTGACACGGTAGCTGAAATGGCTCCGAGCTCAGCAGACACCACTTGGAAGAAAAAGCTTTTGATCCAAAACCGTTCTTCTAAATCCTTTTCTAACAAGCCATTCGTCCAAGGTGTAGAGGTGAAAAGGCTAAACTGAGCCCTTTTTGGGACTATTGCTAAAACATACAGTATTGTGGAAACTGAGAATTACTCTTTAATCTGAAAAGATCCCATTGAGGTAGTGTTCTGTGCTAACTTCTACCAGGCATTTTCCAGCCAGTCCCCACTTTTGGCTCAACTGTTGTTTTTCCATGCTGTTCATAAATCAGAAACCATGGAAAATTATTTTTTTTCTATTGTGAAAGGGGCACAGCAGTACAAGTGGTCTCTTAGCAATGACATGTAACTACAGTGATTAACACCAGGCCAGCCTAAATTAAAAAATTTGGTAGTATCTTTGTGCCCAAGTTCGTAATGGAAATTGACATTAATGTTAGCCTCTTTAAAACACTAATCCATTGGGACGGGTAAAAATGAGCCCATTCATGGCAAAAGAATTCTTACCATAGTTACAACTGGATGGTAGACAATTTTTCCTGGCTAGCCTAGAACAATTTAAACAAAGTTCCTTTTACATAACACCCGAAATTAATCACCATTACATATATAAAAATAGAAAACAATCTGATCACAAAATTCAAAATTAATATACTACCAATCCAACCTTTTGTACTGATTTTAAAGTAATGTGCAAAGGCTGTTCAAAGATAAGATCACTTTATTGGCCATATACAATTAAGGCGGTATTAATAAAATAAGAGCAAAAACACATTGTTAACATTGTGATTTTGAGCTTTAAAATATTCTGACACTAGATACAAAAAGTAATGTTATTTATATTTTTATTGACTTTGACTTTTTGTTCAAGCTTAGGTAGTTGTGTGAGGTTGTGAGTACAAAATTATTTTAAAGCCAACACTGAGCTCTCCTTCAAAGGCATAAGAAGGAATCTCTACAGTGTATGTTGTGATCATTATACCATAAAAGGTGTCAAGCACAGCTTCGAGTCCTCTTACTCTAGTCTTGCATAAATACATCACCACTGAAGTTAATATATTCAGTAATAAGGAGGCCCATTACAATTTTAAGAGTAGTTACAATGACCAGTGACATTCTATAAGTACTTTCATAAGCAATTTCTTCCTTAAAGGAATGTTGAAAGATTCAGGAATGGTGTTGTGCATCTCAAAATTCAAGAGGTTATATTCAGTGGGATAAAACAGAGCTGTTTGTATCTGCCTGGTTCAAATGTCAAAGAACAACATATGCACTTGTAGAAGTCATGCAAAGTAATTGTATGTTCAGGTCAAAATGGTAAATAAGTTCAGAAAAAGTACAGACATATTAAATACCATTTTACAGATAGTGTCATCACATTTCCTTTTAAAAGCTTTGGGGAAGTTGTCTCACATAAGCCAAGCATGGACAGTAAGCAATGTGCTATCTGGCAGAAAACTGCAAACAATGTGGGTAGATAACCAGATGGAAAAAAGAATACTGAAAAACATACTTTTCTGAATGGCTGTAAGGAGAAATTAAGTTTTCTAATCATTATCTCGAAAAGGAAATTTGGTCTTGATGAGTACAGCCATTTTTAATGAATTCTTGA